ATAAGCAGTTCCACTCACGCAACCCATATACTGATCACCCATAAGCGGTTCCACTCACACACCCTGTATGCTGATCGCCCATAAGCGGTTCCGCTAGTTGGCCACCGTGACATCATTCGGGTAACCTCGATAGGGCTCGAAAGTGCTACATCACACCCAGTTCCGTGTCATGGCAACTCTGACTTGTACATCCACGGGGATAGAGCAGTTGTTTCATGGATCCGTTGTGTTTCGGGTGGTTTCCCATCACAGTTTTATGACACATTAGGTATGAGTCGTTGGACTGGCCCTTTCTGGTCTGGTATCCACTCCTGTTTCATGGTGCAGAAAACATCACCCTTGTGTGTGACACGACCGGTGCGGACCCACATAATACTACTGGTATACTGTGCTGGCTGAGCCCTGAGCAGAGAATGAGTCCGGAAGTCATTATGTGTTGCTAGATGTTGACTTCTGCCGTCAACACTTTCCGCCTAACGGTTTCTTCAAACTCTTTGAAACCAGAGGCTCGTACTTTTGAAACGCACCGTAGACATCACCCTAAGGAGGCAATTTATGTCTCACAAACCAACACAATGAAGATACATGTAATTATCATTGAGTGACTTACTGTACCCGGTTGAGTGCACGGAATGCACCAGAAGAAGCATCAACACACAGGTCTGAATCGCCTTCATCATCTTTCGTGCTGGACAAAGGACAGGACGAAGTGCAAGAATTATAATGACTGTGTTGAATACTTGTACACGGCAGCATCTGTTGCTGGAGAGTTCATCGACTAGCGTTCAGGACAGTCTCGACCCAAACTGTAGTCTGTTCCAAATTCACAAACCCCATACTTGGTTGTTGTTTGTTTATTTAGAGTCCAGGAACAAACAGACAAATTTGCCTAATTACATATCGACTTTGAGAAGAAGAAGTAGTGACAACCCGGCCATTAATTTATGGAATTTTTGTCACTTAGGGTATGCCACGTTTCTATGCAGAATGAGCGCAATTGCGCCAATTTAGCCCTATAAAGATCAGTCTATTCTTATTATTCTTTCATTCAACGTCATATGCCTCCACTGATGAGCTCAGGAGGAGCGAAACAGCTGTCTGGAGGGTCATTGTCAATATCAACCTATATACCGGAATTGTCCTCGCTGTGGTGATGGTGATGTGAGTGCAGAGTTTGGATTGGCCAAGAGCGCAATGTGGTGGTGTGGTGTGTTGGATTCCATACATATCGGCTAAAAGAAGCCGATAAAAGGCCAGAAAAGGAGATGGTACTGAATAAAGTGGGTGATAAAGTCTTCTTTTTTTTTAAGGCCATCACCACATTCTCTAGAATTTGTTCGCAATAAAACCTTCATAACATGACGTTTCAGCTGATTCTGTTTGTTGCGGCCCTAAAAACAGGCCAGCAAATTTCAAATGTTGACTCCCGTTTGATCTGTTCTCTACCTTCATCCGAGAAAAGGGTGGGGCACAAGTTATTCGTTAGAGGCCGCCAACTAAATCAGATTTTGAACAGTCTTGTGCACGTCTGACTGGTCAACATTTGGTTTAGTTGGCGGACTCGAATGTATAAGGCCACACCAAGTTAATTCTATGTTTCGCGGCCGACATTTTCTGGAAAAGGCACTCGGGCGGGCGAAAAAACAACAACAGAGAAAAACGTTCTATGTGTAGCAAGCCATGCAGCATACAGCATAGCACTACTGAAGTCTCACTTCATTATATCCAAAACGACAACAAGTCACCACAGGACAGCTTGCAGACTGGGCTAGATCGATACAATACAAGATTTGATGAATGGCTCCTTCTGCACTTTGAAACCAGTCGAGCGTAATACCGCTCCATAACGATCGTGGAAAATCTCGAAGCCCATGACACCTGAAATATCCACTCGGTTGGTGAGCAGGCTCTACCCTGTACATACGGCTTGCAAAAATAGAAATTTTCATCGTGCGCACCTTATACGTACCATTGCCGGGATCTTTAAGATTATCGAGAAGCTGATAGCTTCTGATCTGCCATACTGGCTGGAGAATGTACACCAGAACAGCCATCGATTGACTCGGCTCGGTTCTTTTTTTCTTGTCAGGGATTTGAAAAGGTACGCGCGAACACGCGAGTTGACACAAAACGTAGAAATAACTTGGTGTGGCCTAACTTGTGCCCCACCGTTTTCAATGCTTCCAATTGATTCTTTCCTTAGCTCACCATCAACTGATTGAAACGTTTTTGCAATACAGTCATGTAGCCAATGAATGGAAAAAACATTTCCATCAGTTCTAATAACATGCACTATGAGCTAGGCAAAAAAGCATAGCGTAGGGCCCTGAGCTTCCAAACTCTCTCGTTTTACAAACCAACATAATGGGGTGCTCTTTAATTTGAGTGTCCAAAAATAGCAAATGACCTCGTACGGAATGAATTTTTCGCCTGCAACGAGAGCTTATCGATATGGAATCATCACTCTTCCACATGCAAAACAATTCTTATCAAATCTACTTTCCCTGCAAGGCAGCTCCACGCATTGTGGCATTGAGCACTGAGCAGGCAGCTAAAGCAATCGACTCGAATAAACCGTACGGAAATGCACTATACCTTCACTAGTAGATCCAGGTTCGGCCAGACGCTCAGAGCTCCGCTGATGAGACCTGAAAATTCGAAACAAGTTCCCGAGTGCGCACCTTCTATATTCGCAAGCTAGCTTATTTCCTAGGGTTACTGACGATCGCACTCGGGCAGCTGCACACCACCTAGACTCGAGCTTCGTTCTCTTGGCGGTCAAGCGACCAGTTCATTGCAGATCTAGATGCCGTATCCGGATCCATCCAATTTGTTAAAATTGCCTTTTTTATATGTCTAATTATTTATCTACGCTATCTCCCATAAACGGATTCATTACTGCCATGCCGCTTATCAATTATTTTTATGTTTTCACACAAGGCCTGGATATCCGCATCCGGAATGGCGCCTTCCTTACTTGGTACACCCGTTTATTTCATAGGGTTCAAGCCACCACCCCCCCCCCCCCCCCCCCACACACACAGTTATTTCAAGGAATGCAATGCAGTGCATACGCGATCGCGCCAGCCCAGGTACACGTAGTAGTACATGTAGTAGTAGTAGTAGTAGTAGTAGAAGAATTTATTATTTTGATAGGGAAGGCCCTACAGACGTTGCCGTCTACTACGTAATCTGGTCGTAACTTTGGTGTCCTTTGGCCGATTTCGGTGATCTGGGGCTTTCTGGAAAGCTCCTGGCCTATATGTAGCTGGCCAGAGCTAGTATAGTAGGGACCTTTCGCATTTGCTACGAATCGAATGCGAAACGAAAGTTTGATTCGGCTCGTAATCGTTTCGTTGAAAACAGAATTCAGGTTTCGTAAGTCGTAAAGCAAATGTGCATGGCAACTACGAATACCGTATATTCTCTATTATAAGCGCCGTGCTTATATTTTTTCAACACCCCTCTACCCCGTGCTTATATTGGAGACCGCGCTTATATTGGAGACCGTGCTTATATTTTTTCAACCAATACATCCATACAGGGCAAGAAGAAATACGTGCTAGATATCATGCATGCCGCATTGATTTCCACCAAGACCGTGCTAATAATAGAGACCGTGCTAATAATAGAGACCGTGCTTATAATGTTTCGAAAGGTGCTCACAGTGTGCTAGTATTAGAGACTGTGCTAGTAATGGAGACCTGTGCTTATAATAGAGAATATACGGTACTTGGCGTACGGGTGTACACGTGTGCTCGCGCACACGTGCATGGATCATGGAATCAAGGGAAAAAATGTGTATATAGCTGGCAAAACATGTGTACCTTGCAAAAATGTGTACGTGACGGATTCGGAGCGTGCCACGATCCGTACGAGAAAACGAGCTCTCCGCGGCGACTCTGACGATTCCTCGAACCCAGGTGACGAATCAGCATTCGTTTCGTATCCGTACGCGTGGTGCGAAAGGTCCCTAAATAAGTAATAGCAAGAGTACATAAGGCCCCTTGCACACTACATAGAAAATCCCATTTTTGTTGCGTTCCTGTAAAAGTTACCATGCAAACGGTCTGCTTTTCGCGGGAAACCTAAAATGTTGCGCAAACGTATTCAGCAAACTCCAGACGGGTATACAAAGGCGCGTTTATGTTTTATTTGCATTTCTGGACCGTAGTTTGCTTTGCACCTGTCCTTCCGTGAGACTTCTTGACTCTTGTCGTCAGCTCTTTTTTCCTTTCGATTTGTTCCTTGTTTTGAGTAGTTGCACGTTGTTTGTTTCCTTCTGTCGCGTTGAAGCTAGTTTGAGAAGATGAAGTTCAGCATGCCGAAAGTTGTGTTCAATGACGAGATGGAGGGGAAGTTGATCGAGCTGTGGGCACACTACCAGCGGGAGAAAAGTGGAACGATGAAGAAGAGGTCACAGAAGGAGAAAGAGATCGCTGAAGACCTCAATCTGTATGCTAGGAGTGTTGGCCTGGACATGGCATTCGATGGGAAGTCGCAGATCCCTGTCGAAGTGATAGCATTTCGCCAACACTCGACAAACATTGCTGCAGACCAAGATCGGAGAGAAAAGTTTAAATTTAAAAAATTTCCCGCACTATTTCCATGCAGCACCGGTGAGCATGAGGCGGCAGCTGCCATAGACAATTTTATGAGTATTTTATTAAAACGAAAATGTCTTTTCAAGTGTGCAATGGAACTGATCGGGACTTGCTTGAAAGTGACGCATACGCTAAAAAGCAACGTTTTACTTGTACGTAGTGTGCAAGGGGCCTTACCCCCCAGAGTGTGCAACGCCGATCCAGCTCTGTGTAGACTGATCGCCCGCGTCATACGAAAAGTCAACAAAAGTCCCTTTCCTGGTACCGTTGAGAGAGATGGTTGTGTTTTCTTGAGCTCTGGACAGTCTTGTCTTCTATGCAACCAGTGGAGCAGATTTTGCCAGATCGTGACACGCGACTGACATATCAGCCATGCAGGGTGGCCCATGTTGCCGGTGCAACGGCAACGCACGGCTGTTTCGCGTGATCCAAAAGGCAAGATGGCGTCCTTTTACACATTTTTGGTAAAAATCCACCTTTTTAACGCCTTGGCGGTGCCCACCCAGAGATTACACGCAGTGCAAGGAACAATTTTTTTGCTTGGTGCCAAAAGAGCTACAGAGCTACAAAAAAACATTGTCGAGGTGTTTGGAGTTCGTCTCGTTGTAGGCCAAGTCAAGTGGTTTTGAAGTGTAGTCTTCGCTGTCTTGACGTGGAGTTTCGATAAAAGATGAAGGCGACATCTGCCAGACCCAGTGACTCTTCGGTTTATGCCGTTCTTCGACACAACATCATTTTCGTGCTGGAACTATTGTTATTACTTCTACAATTGTAGTTCAAGTTCTAGTATTATATTATTACGGCTCATGTAACAGTGCATTGTCCTCTACTTGCCTGTGGACGAGGAAAGTTTTGTAGTGCCTGCACGTGCTCAGCACCTGAACTGTACGGTCCTTTAGTTTAGAGTTTAGCTACCAGAAAATCTCTTGACAGATGTGTTGACGCATGCCACCTGGTGGATGAATCAGTGCACGTGATTCTCAACCTGGCCGGAGGAAGCAAAGAATTTTCGTGGACACTCGTTTGAGTATTCTAACAAGTCCATCCCTTTCTGGTGCTGTTCTGTTGGCACACTGCATCTGCATGGCGGGCCTGGGACAGGCATGCTCCCATGCAGCTGCTGTTCTATTCTGGCTGGATTCTGATATGAGATCACAAGGCTAGCACAGCAGGATCTGCACAGTGGCTGGACATTAGCAGTAAAGAAGGTGCAGTATAAGAAGTAGTAAATTCGATTTCAGTGGTGCAGAACAGTTTTGATTTTAAATTGAATCGCTGCATTGTATTTGACTTTTGTCTCATGTTTGAAGTTACGGTTTTGCTGTTCAAATGATTTCTGAATGTATCAGAGTGATAATGTTTACCTACCTATGGCCCGCCACCACCCGCTCTGATGTTGTGAGCGACAAAACAGTTCATTTCTCCATAGGTAGCTAGATTTGGGAATTTTCTCTTGGCTTTCATACTGCAATGGTTGTGCATTACAAATTAAGCACTGGTGTTAGTGCTTCTTCTCCTTTTAGCTGGAGGAGCTATTAGCTTATTGTGTGTCGGCAGTGTGGTTGTTAGGTACTGCACGACCAAGACCTTTAGACGGTCAACATCTTTGTTTGTGTTCTGCAGGCCAGAGCGAAGGAGGTTGAATTTGTGGTGTATTGATTCACCTCCTTGCTCTCCAAGAGCTCCGAGCGCCGCACCAAAGTGCTTCATACACGGCACAAGGTGGTGTTCAAGGATGTGGAGCTTGGGCGTGATGGGCCGCTTGTGGCGAGTGACTACCTCTCTTCGTACAACAGACAAGAAGTCTTTGACTTTCAAGCCAAGGGATGACAACATGTCATCATCAACAAGCTGTGTTGAAGAGAATGTTTGTCTGCAGCTTGCGTAGGATGTGAAAAGTAGAGCGTAGCGTTGGCGTATCGTCTCAGCGGCTTGCAGCAGATCATGCTGACTCTGTGTATGCACAAGCGGAACGCCATCTGGATTCATTATGGCGTGGAGAGTACGCAATGGAGAAGACACAATGTCTGCAGTAACTCCGGACTGCAGAGCCTTGTGGACATGGTTTCCAACGAAAGCTCCAGAGTGGTAAGCTTGTCGGTCGATTCTGTGTCGTGACAAGGTCGGCTCGAAAGAAGAGGAGCACGGACCAAGTTTGACTTTCACGGCAGTCAGATCTTGCTCCAGCTGCGTTACGTCTTTGACGGTGGCTTGGAGCTGTTCTTGGAGTGTTCCCCAATGGTGCTGCAGTGCAGCTGCCTGAGCAGCAAAGAGTGCTGCAGCTTGATGGTTCACACCGGATTGCTGGTTAGCTAGCAATAGCCACTGCAGCTGAGCTTGAGCTTCTTGTGCTCTGTGTTCTTGGATTGCCCTTGTTTCATACAAGGTGTGCAGCTGCTTTTGTTTTGCTGCAACTTCGTTAAAGCTAGCGCTTGACTGTATTGTCAAGAGTGACTTCGCTAGCTGTAGATCCAGCTCTTCAGCGTCTCTTACCATTGCATCAAAAAGCCAAGGGAAAATTCCTAAATCTAGATGCAAAACTGGCACGCAAACATCTCTGATTTCAATCGGCACAACAAATGGCCGGATTACATTGTTGTGGTGCTTCGCATGCTGAAGCCTGCTGCCAGATGCAACAAAGCTTGCATGGTCGGCTTTAAGGCCCTCCAACGTGCGCTCCCCATGCTGGCCAGCTGCCTGGGATTGCATTTCTGTTTTTGTTGAGAGACAATAGAGGCAAGGGCGGACTCCGCTTGGCCCAGACAAACCATAGCACTTCATCATAAAGTCGTAGTCTCCAAACAGAGATACTTTAATGTGCTTTCCGTGCCATTCTGTTTGTTGTAGTGTGATTATTTGTTGTGCGTACGGCGCAAAGGTTGTCGCGAGGTTTGCGGGCGTGTCTTTTCCTGCAAATACTAGAAAAGGAATCGTGTTATACAGTGCATTTGGGTGCATAACATTAACCAATTGAAAGGAAAATTTAAAAGAATGACCACCGTGGTCACCACCGACTTTCACCCATAACTCATCCTCAGGAAGACCATCCCAGACCAGCGTTCCTGCTTGATCATTCAGCTCGATGTAGTGGAGAACAAGGTCCACGATATTCTCGAAACAGACCA